AAAAAAAAAAAAAAAAAAAAGAATGCGTAAGAGTGGCAACACCTGTGCCCGGAAGACTCCTCAAAATACCCCATGAAGTATCATATTCTCATTCAATATGAGAAACAGCTTAGATGTAAATGGTTGGGGAAATTAATCTTCTGGTTTTAATTTGTGAAACCTCTTGAAATTGATATTAAATAGGTGTTTATAAGTTCTACTTTTTAAATTACTTATTGAAGAGATATTTAGTGGACTCTTTCTAGGCACTGAGGAGACAAGAAAGAACAAAGTTCTTTCTTCAGGAGTTTACATTATAATAGGGAAGGCAATCGAGCAGGCTAAACTTAGTCTGTCAGAGGATGGAGCTGGGCGATCCTGCCATTGCTATGGGGTGGTCAGAGAATGCCTTCAAAATCAACTTTTTGGAAGATGTAGGGGGAAAGAGCTAAAACCAACGAGCCAAAACAGCCCGGAGGACAGCTACCTCCACCACTATTTCAGCATTTTACCACTGTGGCTTCTCGACTGGGTCCCTGCTGTCCCAGCCTAGGTTTTACACATGGTATAGCACGAAGCTCCGGCATCGATGCAAACGGAAAAAATGTGCTTTAAAAAGACTCCTGTTGGCAGGGTACGGCGCTCCACACCTGCGATCCCAGCACTTTGGGCGGCTGAGGTGGAGGATGGCCTAAACCAAGGAGTGCACGACCAGCCTTGGCAACACACTGAAACCTCGTCTCTGCAAAAAGAAAAAAAAAAAGCCGGGCTCGGTGGCTCAGCCCGTAATCCCGCGCCTTGGGAGGCTGAGACGAGTGGACTGCCTGAGCCCGTGGGTTTGACACCCGCCTGGGCAACTTGGCGAGACCTCATCTCTACCATAAATGAAAAAATCAGCCGGGCGTGGCAGCGCGCGCCTGTAATTCCGGCTCCTCGGAAGGCGGAGGCGGGAGGATCGCCGGAGCCCAGCGGGTCGAGGCTGCGGTGGCCGGGAGCGCCCGCTGCCCTCCAGTCTGGGCGACCGAGTGAGCCTCCAACTCAACAAAAAAAGAGTGGGTTTTGGTTAGCTCTGGGGCCCTGTTACCGTCTCCAGGGCCTCCTTGTTTCAGCAGTGAGCGCCTCCATGATCCTATGTGGCCTCGCCCATACCACCCATGACGTCGTCCTCCGCATCCCCAGGACCCCCTTGCTCCGGTGTCTTCGCAGAGCTGCAGAGGCGGCGGCCAT